AACACACACACACACACACACACACACGTATATATGTGTGTGTGTGTGTGTAGATAAATAGATGAATAGAAAAAATATATATGTATGTATATGTATATTTACACATATAGGTATATATACATATATGTATCTTTATACGAGTATATATGTATGGTTATACATACATATATACGCATATGTATAACATATATACACACACACATACACACATATTGATTGTGTGAGCACAATTCTTTTGTTGAGTGGTGGAGTAATTGATAGAGCGGCCGCCTCACGATCTGGCGGCGCGGATCGATCCCCGAACAGAGAGGTTTATATATTCATACACACATATATGCATATATGTCGAATAATTCATTTCTTTATTATTGTAAACGGGTTCACTTCTTCGCTTTACTTTGCATAATAACACACACATATGTAGACACATACACACACATGCAGAGAGAGAGAGAGAGAGAGAGAGAAAGAGAGAGAGAGAGAGAGAGAGAGAGAGAGAGAGAGAGAGAGAGAGAGAGAGAGAGAGAGAGACATGGAACTTATCCGTTTTAATAACTTAGTTTATAATTCCAAATCACGTTTCTCGCTGCATTTGCTGTTATGCCAAATAGCATCATTGCAATGCAAACGTGACCCGAATTTGCAATATTCGTTTCCTGTTTTGATTACAGTGAAGGGAACGCTGCTTGTGTTTTTTTGTTTTGAGAATATCAATTGTTCCGTGATTTCACTTCAGTCACGACTGGCTTGTTCCATTGTAGTCCAAACACGAAAAGAATAATACATACATTTTCATGACCCTGGTAGGATTTTTACTGATTATTTATATTACCATGATTATAAAATTGTAAGAAATAAATTAAGCCTCTTTTTCGAGACCAACCAAAGGCTCAAATCAATTATTCGTTATTCGTTATTACTCTACTTGTTCGAGTTTGATTTAAATAGCATAGTTTGTAAAAGGACTAAATCAATTGAAATCTATTTTCTGGTTTGTTATTCATTATATAAATGAGTGGATGATGATAAAGATGATAATTAAGATGACGAGGTGGTGGCGGTGATAATATTAAGGATGGCGATAATAATGATGGTAGTAATTATGATTATCACAGTTTTATTGATAATGATAATAATGATGATAGTAATGGTTAAAAATGATAGGAAAGAACAATAGATAACATTACTGGTGACTAATTCCATTAATGAAAAGATATATATATGACAATGGCAGGGTTTTGTCTTACTAATGTGCTAAATAGAAGATTTTAGCTGATTATTTATTTATTTTTTAATAGTTATAAAAATGTAAGAAATAAATAGTTACGACTCTTTTTCGAGACCAACCAAAGGCTCAAACAGATAAGTATTCATTATTCCTATGATGTAGTGGAATAACTCTTGTACGAGTAAGATACGGATTAAATAATATAGTTTGTAGAGAATGTATTATGTGCCTTGTTATGCATTATTGTAATGTACATTTGGGTTTGTGTGCATTTGGATACTAAGAAAGATAAATGAATGGATGATGATAATGAAGATGATGATGGTGGCGGTGGTGATAATAACGATGATAATAGTAATGGGATAAGGATCAATATGATAGCAATAGTGATAATTATAAATATGAAAGCAATAGTTATAATGAATAATAAATACGATAGCAATAGTAATAATGATAATTATAATAAAATGATGAAAGTAGTAATAATAATGACTGTAATAATAATGACAATGATAGTAGTAATGAAAATGATTATGATAATATAGTAATAATAATAATGGTGCTAATGATAATCATAGGAATCATTATAGGAATCGTGATGATAAAAATAATAATGATAATAAAAATAAAATTCATTAACCCTAGGAGCCGATTCTTTGAGCTAAGGATATATGAACAGGCAACCAAATAAATGCAGAGATCTAAACATAATCAACAGATGAAATGTCGGCTCTCGCGGTCTCTCTGCGATGTATATCAGCGTGAGTCCCAGCCGCCTCTCAGTAGTAGGTGAAAGTGCGTTGCGTGAGGACTTCTCGCGCTCGTCTGTCACTTTAGGTCGCTGCGTTGGTGCTGGTGTCGAGACTCTCTTGGTGAGCACTGTGTACCGGTGTTTTGTATGATTTGTATGCTGATGAATATCATCGGCCGGTTTGTTAATACTGTGCGAAGCCTGACCTAATTATTATGAATATGAATGTAGACAGACAAATGCATATCTGCCGGATAGATAATAAATGTATATCCATATATATATATATATATATATGCCTTTATTTGAATATCTTTATGTATGAATATTCATTGGGTCGGGCCTCGCACAATTTTAACAAACGTCTCGCACACAGAATTTCAAGATAATTTCATAACTTAATGAAAGTGGTTAACATATCATATCACTAACCATTCATTAACAGTGAATACAGGACACCCTGTATGATAAGACGTTCATCTGTATGACGATGTTAAAATTCTGAACATGAGAATCAAATCACCCCCAAAACATGTATCTCTTTGTGATCAAATTCAGATAAGATTTTTCATTATAGTTCAGATTTGTAGTGTATTAATTAAATCTTAGTTTTGTAACAAATACACTTACACAGAGAGACGTGGCACCAAACATAGAGCATAAAAGACAATAAACTACGGTTTGTGTAAGTTCAGTGTATCATTATTGTGTGCTTGATGGAATTATGAATAAACCAGATGTAGAGGAGTAGTAAAATATTCACAGGAAAGCCTCGCTAACTCAGTAATCTCTAGCTTTTAAAGTCTCACCACAGACCATCGTTGGTGTTTTGTTTTATATGAATATTCGATTTCGTAAGGAATTTATGGTACTGCAAATCGCATATGGTAACTGTTGACTGCTGATGTGTTGAGGTGACTGAAAGATATTGCGCCGTTCTTCTCAGCATTTTGCCTCCCACCTCATAAGGTCTATTTGCAATCTATCAGTTAGGCGAACATGCAATATCGGTTATATGTTTCCTGTGCACCCTATAGTTTTGTGTATACTGCAACCCGTGTCTGAGTCTTATTTCTAAACCGTGTTCATTGCGACAAAATAATAAGACCAGATATCTTAATAGTGCTAATGTATCTGGCTCGCTTTTGTCTATAGTTAGAAATACATAATATTTTGACTAAGATATATACATGTGCGTGTGTGTGTTTCTATATTCAAATACCAGTGTGTGCGTGACCTTTCAGAACCATGAGAGTGTGCGTGCTGCTCCCCGCCCTCGCCCTCCTGTCACGGGCCAGCTGTCAGTGCCTCTCCTCCTCCGACACCTCGCCGCCCCGCGGCTCCCGATTCTCAGGCGACGACCCCTTCAGCCTCGACTTACTCAGAAGGCTCTCCCTCCGTCGGGGAACTTCTTCATCTCGCCCTTCAGCGTCTGGAGCGCCCTCGTCCTCGCCTACTTCGGCTCCCGAGGCAACACGAAGGCGGAGCTGGAGCAGGTTTCTGCGGCTCACCAACAGGGAGGACACGCTCGCCCTGTTCAGGGCCCTCGAACGGCGGTGAGTGGGTTGACGCGATTAAACCTACCGAGTGAACCGTTAAGAGAGGTGGTAGGTAGATTGATATATATATATATATATATATATATATATATATATATATATATATATATGTGTGTGTGTGTGTGTGATTCTGTGTGTGTTTGTGTAAACATTAACACAGTAACGTGTATACAAAATATAAAGAACAAAAAGATTTTTTAAATTCATATTGTTGGTTTATTCATTTTCGTGTATATGTATATATAAAGTATATATATATATATATATATATATATATATATATATACATGTATATATATATATATATATATATATATATATATATATATATATATATATAGAGAGAGAGAGAGAGAGAGAGAGAGAGAGAGAGAGAGAGAATGGACATGAATACCTTGATGATAAAAAAGGATCATGATTTTATAATGCAAGTAATACATTATCAGATAATAATTTCTACTAAAATAACACGACTGCAGCTATGACTCCCAAGAAGCAAACCAGAACTACACCATCAACTCGGCTAACAGGATATACTTCGACCAGTCCATTCCCGTCCGAGAATGCGTGGGAAAAGTCCTCGACGACAAGTGAAGTTACAGACTTTAATAGGGTAAGAAACACTTGGCTTACAGCTTTATTTTCCTGCCTACTAGATGTGGGGAGTCTTCATCACTTGTAACATCGCAGCATATCCAAAATAGGGATATCAGAACTCATGTAGTTACAGATTCATGGCTCAGTGAGGATACGAACATCATTCTTTATATAAAAGCACAGCTTATAAGTTATGGTCTAATGTTTTGATTATGTCTCTGCAAAAAGAGGGTAATCTACACATACATTTGCATTAAATCACTGCATTATCACTTCGTATATACATACAAATCTCTGTAACCTGACATTGTATTTCAATTTGTGATACGTTTCCATCAAGTGGTTAAGGGAGTTCTCTGGCAATCTTGGTCTAGTACGAGAAGACAGAAATATGAGCCGAGGCACAGTGATAAAACCTTTAAGCCTTAAAAAAGTGAAGCATTCAAACCTTATAGCTTAAACCTCGGGCGCAGTGTGAAAGCCTTCCGTACAAGAGGGCAGATCTGTTCAGCAGACTTACTTTGATCTTGAGTAACAGAGAAAAGCCTTCTGTGGTGATCATTTAATGTATGTAGAATGAACCAACTTCTTCAGTGCTTTAGGGCGTCTTCTGTACGTGCCATAAAAGTTAATCCAGAATTAAAGTTTAATCCAGATCTCTAGTGCGCATGCGCAATGGCAGCGTCCATTATCAACTTTTATTTCATCTCTGGACAGCATTCACTTTTGAGCTCGTACTTTAATCCTGCCATGCTCAAAATGAGCTAGTTAGTCGCACCATTCAGGTAAAAAGGATGAAGTCGAGTTGCCATAAATGTTTATTATTGCGAATAATGAAACTAATTCTGGCATTTTCATGCTAAAGATGTGTATAAACTTTTATCAACATATATTTTCATAAGTCGTGGGATACTTAAACTGCAGAAATAACTCTCGAAAAAAACGAAAGGAAATCCCACAAATAATTCCAGAGTTTCAATAACATCACGATTAGGTTTCAGATTTAAAGTACAAACTTTCTGAATCTTTATATTACAATGCCTTCAAAACTGCGTGGGAATTTGTTATCATTCCTCGACAGCAACAAAACACGAAAAAACTCTCGGAGAAAACTCTCCGCAGAAATAAACTGATGTAACTTTTGTTTAACAGCTACAGTTCTGTTGCCTATAAAAAGAGCATTTGAAGTCCTTTATTGGAATTTAGTTGTCGTAACACAAATGCACATCCTCATGCTATAAGACTGCCGTATGTATATATATATATATATATATATATATAATATATATATATATATATATATATGTGTGTGTGTGTGTGTGTGTGTGTGTGTGTGTGTGATACATTTTTTTTTTTTTTTTTTTTTTTTTTTTTTTTAGCAAACGTCTCGGTAACAGCATTAGCGTGCGATATGAAACTCAAAGAGTTTGCTAATTTCGACTACACAAATGCCCGCTCTTAATTGTAAAAGAACAGATTTACTGATGATCGCGTGCGTCTGGTATTGTGTATTACATCTATGAAAGTACAGTGGATTTGGATGAAACTTTAATCTGGATTTAATGCTGCGTTCGGAACTGCTCGTCTATCTCGTCCAGCCCAGTTGGACAAGATGTTTTGACCGTTCGGAACTTCCACAATCTCGTCCCGGACAAGTATTCTGGCTCGTCCAACTCGCCCTCCTGCGAACCTGGGCGAACAGGACGAGATGACGTCACAGTAATTTTGTATGTAAACATTGACAGTTGTAGGTAACCGCAAGATATTGGTGGGTAATTTTATAACCCTTTATTGGTGTTATCAAAGGATATTTTTGTGTTTGTCAGTTGCAGGTAAGTTAAATATGCATCAAAGGAGTTACAAAACCTATGCAGCGTGTAAAATAAAGACACCAGTATGATGAAAAAAAAAAAATAAAAAATAAATAAAAATAAAAATAAAATATGTTTACCTTGGAGCCGGTTGCATTCTGGGCAGAAAGGGTCTTGGAGGTTCAGAACGCGGCCCACTTGTCCTGCTTGTCTTGGACAAGGTGTCTGGACGAGCAAGACGAGCAGTTCCGAACGCAGCATAACTTTTATGACGCGTACAGAAGAGACCCTTGTACAAGAAAAATCCTTTAAAGTTTTTAAAACAGATACATTTCTTTAAACGATCTTTAAACTCCATTGACCGAAATAATCAAACCTGAATCTGCCATCAGCCCGACGCCGCCGCTGCTGACATCAATGCCTTCATCAACGCCGAAACGCGAGGAAAAATACCAAAGCTTATAGAACCCTCCTTTGTTAAAGACGCTAAAATGGTCTTAACTAACGCCGTCTACTTCAAAGGCTTTTGGAAATACCCGTTCAAGCCTCAAAGGACCCACAAGGACAAGTTTTTCGTAACCCCGGAAGAATGTCCAAGTGGATATGATGACGCAAACGGGAAGGTTCAAATATGGTAATGTATGGGAGTTCTTCCTTTATACAAAATGAACCTCCCTACCTTTCCTTGTGTCCAGTTTCCGTTATTACATATTTTTTCCCCATTTTCATTGCGTTTGTATCGATTTGTCGCAAATCAAAATCAATTATGTGTTCATTAGGTGTCTTTCTCTTTATGGGAACATGTACACAATTCCAACACAGAACAAGTTACCTTACAATGCAAAAATCGTAAAATGAATCACCTGTTATCAACGAACTTCAAATATGTCCAACTCCGTTCCAGTGGACTCGGAGAAGCTTCACGCCCAGGTGCTGGAGATGCCCTACAGGGGCGACGCCGTGTCCATGGTGGTGCTCCTCCCGCGAATGGAGAGCCAAGGAGGTGGACAGGCTGGTCCGACGCCTGAGGCCCAGGAGACTCGTGTCTGTGTTGAAGGCGATGCCCTCCGTCCCTGATAGTCAAGTTTCCCAAGATCAGCGTGGAGTACTCTCGGGGATGAACTCATTTCGGTATGTTTTTAGGGCAAGTAAGCGAACCTGGTAGTTTGGGAATGGTAAGCAAAGGGTCGTAGTTTACTCACAAATTGAGGTATAATCTGCTATCACAAACGTATATATATATATATATATATATATATATATATATATATATATATATATATATATATATATATATATATATATATATATATATATATATATATATATATATATATATATATATATATATATATATATATATATATATATATATATATAAGTACCAACAGGAAACTTTCCTCAGTACAGCCTAGAGCAGCCCGAGGGATATTTGCTGTTTCAGTCTTACAGGCGGCCGTTTTGAATGATTAATTAAGCCAATACTTACCTTTTACATTCATCACTTACATTCCTATTTTTTATTCTGTCTTTGCAATGAATGAAAAAGCGCATGTCATTCTGATATTTATACATACATATAGAATGTATATATACATACGCATATATATGTATATATAAATGTGTATATTCATTATAAGTGTATATATATATATTACTTATTTATTTATTTATATGTATATACATATACATCCATATATGTATATATGTACACACACACACACACATATAAATATATATATATATATATATATATATATATATATATATATATATATATATATATATATATATATATATATATATATATATATATATATATATATATATATATATGGTATGCGGGCTAAGTGTGTTCACTGGGCTGATCCCAACGCCTGTGAAATTAGGATCGTCATGAAAAATAATCATATATAATGTGTTACCATTAGGATCATTCAAAATGTGATAGGTAAAATAAACTTAACGTTCAATCATATAATACCAGTATAAGAAACGTAATCCTGGGAAGCCAGATGTAAACCTCTGTTGGACCTCAAGATGGTGGCTGAAGGGAAAATTGGCTCGCGAGGGTTTTGAGTTTTAAACACTCCGAGCTTACATATCATACCATTACTTCAGTAAAGATTCTGCGCATCTGGTTGCAAAATCGTTACATATTGGTAATAGATATCCCTGAAAGATTAAACTTAGTCTTGCTACTTATTTATATCTAAACTGAGAGAGCAATAAACGATTATTTAATGAAATGAAATACTGATAACCTATTAAAAACTGTTTTGCTTCTTGTAGCGAAATCATGACGCAAAATACTTTAAAAAATAGCCTCGTATCCACGCCTTCCTTCTCCAGACTTTAAAGAATATGGGAATCCGTGACCTTTTCTCATCCGCCGCCGATCTGACCGACTTCACACATGTTCGAGGATTAATGGTGAATGGAGCGATCCACAAGGCCCTTATAGAGGTGGACGAAGAAGGCGCAGAGGCGGCAGCGGCGACGGTGCTCGCTGTGACTAAGTCTAGTCCAATGCCTCCAAAGACGACGTTCACGTGCAACCGGCCCTTCGTTTTCTACATTAAAGATAACGAGGCGAACAAACATCCTGTTCATGGGTGTTTATAGGGGTCTTTGAGGGTCCTCTGCTGGACCTTGTTATCATTATGGTTGGCATTGTTCTCGTTGATTTTAACGTTATTATTATTATCATTATTATTTTCTTGTTATTCTTGTTATTATTATTAAAGGTATTATCATATTGTTATTATTATCATAGGTATTATCATTGTTATTATTATTATCATGGGTATTATCATTGTTATTGTTGACATAGGTATTATCATTGTTATTGTTATTATTATCATAGGTATTATCATTATTATCATTAAGATTATTATTATGATAATTATCATTATATAAATATTAATTGCATTCGATTGTTATTTTCTTATCTCTATTATTGCATTTCAACATTATCATTATTATTATTACAACTAGTGTTACTATTTTCATCATTATGGTTATTATTATCATTACTACTGCTATTATTATAAACATTATTGTTATCTTCATTATTGCCACTATTGATATTGTTAGTGTCAAATTTTGTTAGTTTGCCTCCCCTCTTTAAAACTAACACAAAATCATCATTACCATCATTTTTATGCCCCTGACTATACCGTAAAGGACCACGTACTGAAGACCCAGAGGAGACCAAACACTGTTCACACCCCTTCTGTATAAAGTAAAGTAAGCTATGCCAGAGTAAATCCATTGATATTAAGTTGCTTAAAAAAAGTAACTGAGAGAAAATAAACCCTAAAAGGTAATAGTTATTAAAAACCACTTGGAATCATAGTTATGTAAAGAGCATTAAAAAAAAAAAAAAAAAAAAAAAAAAGCGTGACCTGAGAATCAGATGAAGTATATCAACCTATTGAATCATAATCCTTCCTCAAAAAAGATATATCGTTGTAAACCAGATTAATCCTACTGACGCTCCAGACTGTTTAAAGCGTGCCATTTTTCCTCTTTCCAAGAAAGAGGGTTAAACAAACCTATTTATCGATCCTAGTAGTGACATTGCTGAAACTTTTATGAATGCGCGTGTGCGTTAATGATCAGCAGAAACAAATATGGGCTGATCTTCCAGTGCGAGGTTGCCTTGAGCAGAGGCACAGGAAGCGGGATCGGCCGAACGAAGCCCAAGTCCCAAACACGAGGAAGGCCATCAGGAGGAAAACTGCAAGGAACTTCATTGTGATCTTTTTACTGTAAAGAAATCAAGTTATGAGACAAAGATAAGGATAGGTCCGATATGCGAAGCTGAGCTTCGCCCGGCCTGTGCCAACTAATGTTGACTTGATCAACGTGTGTCAGCTAGTGCAACAGAGGTAGCAATTACCTCAGGGCGACAATTGCAACTTTTCACTACTGGTCGGGGCGCGTTACCACTGTACTATCCTGAAGGTTTAATGATAAGGCAGGTTTTTGGAGTATTTTATACCTAGGACATGATCTTGGGGGTCTGGGATTTGACGGACGACCTGGGGAACTAGATGGTTTGGGAAAGCTTTGGGAACGTCATATGATTCCATCTGAATATGCAATAATTTGTTTGTTTGCCATTTCTAGGAAATTTGACTGAAAACTGAATTTACTACAAATTCCAATAACGTGGTTTGTCAGAGGGTGACTATGGGATATCATTGTCAAATATCATTCAGGAAAACAAAAAACCAGGATTATTTTCTGATTTTTATCCCTATTAAAACTAACCAAAACACATTTTAAATCGTCGTCTGGAGTATGTAAACTGAAGATGTGTGTGTGTATATACATATTTTATGTATGTCATAAATATGATATATATCATATATATATACACACATAAATACAATGTATTGCATATACTATCATAATTCATATTATGTTTTACAAATATACCATATACATTATATATATCTTATATCATATACATTATGTATATCATATAACACATACATTATATATATCATACATCATATACATCATTTATATACAATATATTTGTATTATATATATCATCCTTTATATATATTGTTTATACGATATTATATATATGATATTTATTATATATGTTATATAAATTTTAACATATAAATTATATATATACATTATATATTATATATTATTATATATATTATATATTATATATTATATATTTTATATATTATATTATATATATATATATATTATATATATATATATATATTATATATATTTTATATATTATATATATTACATATTTTATATATATCATATATTATACATATACATATGTATATGTATATATATATTGATTACTTATATTATAATTATTATATACATAGATTCCATATATTATATGCATCATATTATATACAGGTGGTCCCCTACTTGCGAACTTCCGAGTTACAAATTTCGGTACATACGAACAAAGCTGTCAGGAGGGAGTGAGAGTAGCGCGCGTCGTAAACTATAGCTCTCTCACTGTACCCACAAGGTCTCATTCAAACGTGTGTGTACGCTCTCCAGAAAACTTTGTGATTTTGTGATTATTTTTGTAATTGTATTTTTGCTAAATACGATAAATAAAAAGTTATGGCTAAATCTCTGACCCCCCCCCCCCATCTGCCTCCAGCTCCGATGTTTACTTTGTCGCGTCTGAGCAAATATACCCAACATTTTTTTTTTCGATTTATTTTGGTATTCTCTGGTAACTAGCTGGCAACTCTGTTTGCAGCACAGCTGGCAGTTACTACAAAGAGACAAGGTTGGCAGTCACCAGGAGAGAGCAGAGCAAGATGAAATCCGTCCCATACCTCGGGCACCATCCCTGATGCGCCCTCATCACATAATAGGCCACTACTAATGATCAGTGTTATTCCTGTAACTAATTAACATAATATGATGAGAAAAACATCTCAATCACAGCTGCAGCAGTCTTTTATTTTCTATGAA